TGGATCCTTCAGGTGATGCTTTTATCCTTCTCGTCATTCCCAGGGTTGCTCTGTCACTAGTCATATTCTCAGCCCTCAGATACAAATTGGTTTCCCCATATATGTAATTTGATATTTTTTCTCTCATAGCCTTTAAAATTCTTATTTCGTACGTTAGTCATTCTCATTATAATGTGCTTTGGTGTGGTTCTGCTGTAATTTTGTACATTTGGGGTCCAATAAAAATTTTGTATTTGATTTTCCATTTCATTCTTTAGGTTTGGGAAGTTTTCTGATATTACGTAATTGAAAACATTGTGTATTCCTTTGGCTTATATCTCCACGTCTTTGTATATAATAAATCTTAAATTTGGTCTTTTCATGTTATTTCATATTTCTTGGAAGTTCTGTTCATGATTTCTTACCATGTTCTCTGTATGGTTGACTTTATTTTCAGAAGTATATATTTTGTCTTCATTACCTGAGGGTCTGTCTTCTAGGTGGTCTAGTCTGTTGGTGATACTTTCCACTGAATTTTTAATTTGATTTATTGTTTCCTTCATTTTGAGGATTTCTGCTTGCTTCCTTTTTATAATCTCTGCCTCTTTATAGAAGTGGTCTTTCAATGCCTGCATTTTCTTTCTGATACCATCCTTTAGTTTGAAGATCAGTCTAACTATTAACCTTTTAAACCCATTCTCTGACATTTCTTCTACTCTGTTGTCTATGGATTCTATTGTTAGAACGTTTTGGTTTGTTTGAGGTGCTTTGTTTTCTTGTTTTTTCATGTTGTTTGTGTGTCTTCCCATCTAGCAGTGTGGATCTGAGGCAGTACAGTTTCTATCCTGTAGACTTACAGTATCCCTGAAGGCTTCCAGTACCTCACCTTTAAGAGGGAGACCAATATTAACAGCACCCAATGCAAACAATATACAACCTTCAAACAAATAGCTCCTATTAAGATGTCTACAGTTTTGTCACTATACATAGAATGATGTATTCAATTATTGTCTAAAATATAAACAGTAAGTTTGCTAAAAGGGTTTACCTTTTTAAACGATGGATAGTCAGAGAACAGAAGTGATATGAGATGTGATGTTCATGAGGGAAAAGAAGAGAAGATAGAGGTAAAAATTTATAGGAAGAGTGAGGGGGAGGAATTAGTAGCAGTTGGCTGTTAGCATGAGAGAGGCAAGAAAGAGAAACCAGGGAGACAGATAAAGGAGAAAAAATATACAGGGGGATCAAAAACTAAAAATATAAAGATAAGAATATACAATAAAACTATAATATACTGTTCAGATATCCCATTCCTCAATAAATTGATACATGGGAAATATTTGGATCCAAAGATGGTAGAGATGTGAGAGAGAAGGAGAAGAAAAAAAAAAGGAAAGTCTCAATGGAAAATTGAACGATTGCTTCCGTTGGCTTTTAAAAATTTTCTCAGCTCCCCTTCTCTGCTGGTAGGTGGGGTTATCTGAATTTTGATGGTAGCTCCAGTCCTGTGGGTCCAGACCGGTTGGCTGGGTGAGCCTATAGCAAGATGCCCTCACACCCTCTTCTAGTCTTCCTACCCGTTGTGCTGGCCCCTTCTGCCCTTGTGCACTTCGGGACTCACTGAGCAGGAGAGAGCCCAGTTTCTCCAACTGTGCTTTACCTGGGGAGCTGCCCTCAGTTTCCAGCTTTCCACAGGCTTGCCAGGTCCACACTGGCCCCACACAGACTCAGCTGCAATCTGATGGACCTGGGCTTCAGATTTCCCAGGTGCTGCCTTGCTGGAGTCCCAAGATCTCAATGCCATTTCAGCTTGCAGAGAGACCACCAGGGATGCGCTCACACAAAGGAGCAACCCTGCAAAGAGGCGGCCAGAGGGCAGCCACTGGCTTATCCAGCAGGAAGACCTCAGGCACAACCAGACCTGCAGGTACCCTGACAATATATCTCTAGGCCCTGGCTGGTATCCCTAGACTGAGGCAGCCATTCCCCAAGATGGTGGCAGTGGTTGTGGCAAACCTGCAGGCCCTGAGTCCAGGCCTGGCCAGTGTCCCAAGACGGCAGTGGCCTCATGTAACCAAACCTGTGGGTACTCTTGATATGGACTTCCAGGCGGCAGTGGGCAGCTTGCGATCCATGGGTGGTCTGCTGGCAAATGGTGGGCAAATGGACAAATGACAGATGATTAGTGGTGGTCAACCAGCTGTCTGCCAATTTGTGATTTTCTTGCTTCAGCCTTTTAGCTCTCTAGGATTATAGACATGCACCACTGCATCCAGCTTGAACTCATTACTTTAATTTCAACAATTATATCAAATGTGTAAGCCTTATATTCCCCATTTGAAGAAGTGGTTGTCATAATGATGAATTGTTCATGTTATTAAAATGGGAAATTTCAATTTCTCCTTTTATTTTGATATTTGTTTTGTTTTGAAAGTATGTTGAAAAATATACACGTTCATAAATTGTCTTTGTAAAAAGTTGTTTTGTTTTTCTTTCGGTACTGGGGATTGAACCCAGGGGCATTTTACCATTGAGCTACATCCCTAGCCTTTAAGATTTATTTTTTTTCAAGATGGGGGTCTCTCTTAAGTTGCCCAGGCTGGCCTCAAAATTGTGATCCTCCTCTGACTTCCAAGTCACTGGAATTAACAGGAGCACACACTGTGCCTGGCTCATTTTTTGACATATTTTGATAGTTACAAAAGTTAAAAAATTTATTTTTATTACATGGAAGACTTTAAAATAAAGAACTAAATGTGAATGATATTAAAAAATAATAAGAAAGAGTATTCAGGAAATAATACAGTGAGTATCTACAACGCCTTTCTTGTTTGACTATTGGAGAAGTCAGTCCAAATACAATAATACTTCTTCAGTGGAGAAATGAATTACTTTAGCAACTTACATGGAAACTATTGAGCTAACTGAGCTATTAATACTCTAAATTTCCTAGTAAAGTAGGATGACATAACTGAAAATTAGAAATTTACATGAGTTCTCAAATTGAGATGATTTAAATTTAAAAAATAGGCAGTTATATTAGGTCCATAATTTCTCTAGGAAATACTTTGAATAATCAATCAAATTATCTTGGCTTCCAGAAGAGATAGGGTAATAATGATAAATTGTGTCTATCTCTACAGTTTTGATTATTATCAGTATAGCAATTTTGATCACAGTCTTAGACTTTTAAACAATCAAATCATGTCTACTTGGGCACTACTCATCTGGAATTAGTATAAGATAGGGTTTATTTGCACATTCCATTGTTTGTTAATTCGAGAAATATTTGTTGAGTGCCTTATAGGTACAGCATGATGCTGAGAGTGAAGTGCTGAACAAGATGGGTATGAGTCCTGCCTTCGGAGGGCCACATTGTGTCTGGGAGCACAGCATTAAGTTAATAATTACACAGCTGATTATTACAATAAATGTGTGCCACTGCCTATTAAGGAGAAGCACAGGGTCCTTTGACAGTGTACAAGTCAGCTGTAGGACCAGTTCATTTATAATGAAGCTGCCACCAGTAGTGAAGAATCCATACTTGTACTATATTACAGATTTCAATAGCCATGGTGAAGGAACATAGAAAAGACTTAAAATAAATCAAGAATTTTTGTGTTGAGAGGAAAATGATAAATGGAGAGGAGAGAGTGCCCCTTTTTTGCCATTTTTTCCCCCATTTTATGTCTAGAATCTTCCACAAGATATCTCTCTAAATGTGAAAGGTGGAATTCCTCTTCTTTAGTAAGGGTTTGTACCTTCTGGCTTAATTGGAAAAATACATATTTTGTTCCATTATCGAGATTGTTTTAGGAGCTGAAAATGCACTATTTTTTGTCATTATGCTAATGTTTTGAGTTTTCAGGCAAGTATATTCCTGGATATGTTGTGTGAACAGTGTTACTACTTTCTAGGTGGAGCATAACATATAACCTTTTCCTTGATAACATTTGTCTATTTCTACCAAATGTACATAATATCATTGCAGTTTTGTATTTGAGTGCCCAGACTTTCTTTGAAGTGTTAGGCTTTTACAAATGTTGTTTAAATGATACTATAGATTTTAGTAGTGTCATATATATTAGGTTTTGTGAATTTTTATAACATCCATGGTTCTTTCCTTTGAAAAATTTGTTTTTAATAGTATGCTCTTTATGAAGGCTAGAGTCTGAAATTTCTTTTAAGTCTTTCCACTTCTTAAAAAATATAAGACTCATTGTAACTATTTAAAGAAGAGCCCAGACCAGGTATTTCTACTAGCTTTGGTAAAAAGGAGGGGTTTGTAACTTTGAGGAGAATGATTCATATTTATTGGAAATTTCAGATTTAAACTCAATTTTTATAAGGTAGTTACTATTTAACTGACTGTTTTAAGAATCATGAACTGCCTTTTACAGGTGTTTATTTGACTTTTTAGATGTGCCATACAGATCTTTTTTGAAGCTGTGTCTAGTTGTGTGCTCAGTGAATTATTTTCCTTAAACAAACAGTACCCCTTCAGTTTAAGGACCAAGAAACTAAATACTGTATTACTGATTCAATAACTTGTCTAAAGTCATTTAATTATAGGCTTGTCTTGATGCATCCACTCTTTTTTTCATTTTTATTATTGTTCTTTGATATTTGTATAATCATGAATAATTACTATTTTTTCTCTATAGTGCCTCTATTTGGGAGTATTTGAAATGTTACAACTCATTATGTTTATTTATCAAACTGTATCAAATATACTTTTACTTTATGTCTTTATTTCCCTAATTATGTATGTTAAATTTGTCTTGCATTGTGTAGGTGTAATTTGGGAGACAAAATCATCTTCATTTGTAAGAAGCAGAGATAAAGGCAAACATGAGGATCAACTTTTGAAAAGATATCAGGGAATTTCTGATGAAATGATGCTAACCAATTTCAGTAAAAAACTAAACTTTTCCTGTAGAAATGGGTGTGCATGATTTTATGACTTTAAATGCTTTCCCATTTTAAAACTATGTACTTTTTTTTTTTTTTTTTTGGTGTAGAGTTCTCAGTATGTGCAGTGTGTTGCTGGGTGTCTGCAGCTGATGCTCCGGGTCAACGAGTACCGTTTTGCCTGGGTGGAAGCAGATGGGGTAAACTGGTGAGTGCCCTTTACTTTTGATGTAGAATAACATTTAAAAGCATTTCTCCCTGACATTTTCAAAGAAATTAATACATTTAATCATCCAACAGAAGTATTTTATATTTTCATGTCTGTTTAACAATGGATTATGCTAACTTTCTTATAAGTCAATAACTATCAAACTGAACATTTCCCTTCCCTTACTGGTTTGTGCATTTAAAAGAGGTTGAAGCCTGGACGGAACAACTCAGAAAACAAAATAATTATAAAAGTATTATGTGATGAATAAGATAAAAATCAATTAGGAAATGTCCCATCAGAAAAAAGTGAGTGTCAACTGTTTTTATAAGCCATATAATTTAGTCCATTCTTGTGGGGTCCTAATTTGCAGGTACGAAAACGTTAAGAAGCTGTTAATAAACAACCTAAGAAAAATCTCCCCCAAAATACTGGAATTTCTGTTTTATCACTGGAAACCCAATTTATACTGTACTCTTTTTAGTTAGTGAGGGCATTGTTTCTTTGTTGGAAAATAAACATACGGAATTAGGTTATCAGGTTATCAGTAGATTCTTTGGTGAGCAAGGATTTAGAGCAATAGTTGATTGACAATATGTGTGTGGCATCAAACTCTTTCAGAACTTTATGTTACATCTTCAGTGTAGATGAATACTGTGAAAGGGATCTGAATATTCTGGATTTCCTCTACAAATATGTGCAGTTTTTTAAACTTTCTTGGACTTCTGCAAAAAGCTTTTCTTATGAATTGAATTTAAATCATCATGTACCACTCAATCTCCACTGACTCAGTGAGTTAGTATGTATGTTCAATATATTTATGACTACTTACCCCTGAATCTACCAGGAAAAGTAGTTATTTCAGTTTGCCATCTGGTCCAGTAGTTCTTCTAAAAAAATATAGTTTTAGTTTTCTTATGAAAAATTAATTAATCAAAAATAGAGAGAAAGTAAAAACCGACTATTAGAAATTTTAATAGGAATTTAAATGTAGCAGCTCTTTTTGTAGTAAGTAAATTTTGATGCATAAATACCATAAAACAATGAAAAAAATCATCACATATTCTTGAGCAAAATTGACCAGGTTTTTGTTGTGGAATATTGTCTTGAAGACTTTTGTGTTCAATACCAACAAGTGAGAAAATTGTACTTCCTTTTTGTCCATAGAAGACATATATTGCTTACTCATTAATTATTGCATCTGAGAAAATTTTTTTATGGTATAATCATCTAAACACACATAATTTCACTATCATTGTTAGAATAGAATGCTATTTCTCACTTTGCTTTTGTCTTCTGATTAATGATTGTGAAATGTATTCTTCTATTAATCATTGTTATGGGTAGAAAGTAAAAAGTTCTGAATTCTCAGCTGTGTGTTTCTGCTGTTGGGAGATTCATTAGGAAGACTCATGGAGTCAGCAGCTGGGACTCATAGCTAAACTTTATTGCAGAGATGTGGTCAGGATGCACACAGCTAGTCTGTAAGTGAAAAAGACAAAGGCTGAATCTGGAAGAATTTACCTGCAGGCTTCCTCGTGCTCCCTCCCTTTCATGAGGTCCCACTGAGTGTACCCTCCCCCATCAACAAAAATGCAGCAACATTTGTGTGAGATTTCTGTCCAAGAAACTAATTATTGTCTCATCTTCCAAGCATTTTACTGGAGGCTAGTAGTGTAGATACCCACTGACTGTAATACATCAAAATTTCAGACTCCAAAAAAGAAAGTGGTTATCTAAATCAAAATACTATAGATTTGAGTGGCTTATGATAGTTCTGGAGGTTGGGAAGTCCAAGATCAAGGTATTAGTGGTTTTGGTGTCTGGTGAGGGCCTGCTTCCTGGTTCAGGTTGGCTGTCTTTTCACTCTAACCTCTTATGACCGAAGGGTCAAAGGGTCTCTTAGGCCCTTTTAAGGGCACTAATTATATTCATGAGGGCTTTGCCTGTATGGCCTAATCCCAAAGACCTCACTTCATCACACTATTACCTTGGAAGTTAGGATTTTAACATGAATTTTGGAGGGACACAGATACTTAAACCATAGCAATGGATGTTCATAGCATACACCATATTATTTGTACAAACTGTGTAGGTACAATGAGCTACCCTTAGGATTTAGGGAAAATTTTGTGTTGATGTAGGGAACTCGTTACTAGCCAAGTTCCTAAAAGCTAGCCAATGGCCAACCTTACAAGCAGGTCTTTTTAAGACTAGCAATCTTAAGATTGTGATGTCAGCTCTTCTGCATAGAAACCTAAATGTGGACTACAAAAATGATGTTTCAAGTCTTTTTACTTTCCTAAAAGATGATGCCATATTTTGGGCAGAGCAATAAGAAGAGATAATGATTATTTCAGTATATTTCATTATATCATCATTATATAGGTCTCAATTTTTTGTTTTAGTTTTTTATTTAATAGCATAATTAATTATGGTTAATAATGATGAAATAATATTTAGGATTATGAAATAGTCTAAGATCACCAAGATCCCATGAAAATTTTGTCCAGTGGATTCTCTTGGTATAGGGACTTTCAACTAAATGCTGCTGTCTCAATTACTATATTTCGTATTTTGGAGAACAGTCAACAGTACTGACTTAGCCTTTGTATTTTGGTATGCTAATCATCACTAATGAAATGAGCAGTAATCAGATAAATCTTTAGGTTGTGAACAGACATTAATAAGGTATATCTAAACTTGCTAATAGTGTAGCAATTTAGAAAAGTCATTTAATCCTTTTATTTTTTCAGAGGTAAAACACACTTTCTACTTTCCCATTTGTCTTGCTTAGCATTGAAGTTTTAGTTTCTGGTGCTTCTAAAATCACAAGCAGGAATAATGTGAAGAGAAAAAAAATGCAAGAATAGGCTGTTTAATGAGAGGAAGAGAACTGATTTAAAAAAAGTACAGTTTAATCAACATAGTCTGCTTTTTTTTTTTGGCGAAAAAGCCATTGTATATATGACACAACACTATTTTTGAATATTTATGTACTTATGTAAGATAAAATACTTTTCATTGTGTTGAAATTGTTGACTTCACAGTCTGAAGACTGGCATTGACTTTTTAAGTATTGCAGCTAAAAGTGGGCATTTCCTGGAGTTAATTGTCTTCACAATTCAACTAGCATTTATGAACTATTATATCCTCAAATTTGAAGTGTTTCGAAAGTATAAAGTAATGCAAAGTTTAAAGGTGAGTTTTAAGAAAAAATAGTTGAAATCTTACACTCTTGGGTGACGTTGTGTGATGAGGTATGAGGTACTTATGGATTTGGAGGGCAGCGTCTCGTTCAAAGTGTGTCTTAGCCAGTACCCATCTATTTTGTCTCACTATTCCTTTTATTCATTTGATTTAAAATAACTTATTAAAAAGTAAAACAATACTAATAGTGATTTTGACCTCACAGACCTTAGTCGTCTTCTAATCTTGGATTTGCTAGTTATACTTCCTGAGCTTTCTATATATTGTGCTACATATAATGGGGACTAAAAAGATATATGGCTCTTCTCTTTATGAAGTTTATAATCTAGTCAGAAAATATTAGAACCCATCAAAGGCAGCCTTTAGTATTCTACAACTTCATTTAGTGACTTTCTCAGTGATTTTAAAAGTCACATCAACCTTGCAGATTCACATTTTTTAAAACTCAGCAGTCACATTTAACTTGCCTTCTTAATTAGAGGGATGGCACAGGGTTGGATGCCACATTCACTTCTCTGGTTCCTTCCTCAGTGAATCCTCCTTTCACCCATGGTAACCTGTAAGCTATTTGAGAGCATAGACAGAATCATTTTTGCTTCCTGTTATATCCCTTGTGCCTTGCTCTATACCTCCACATAGCTCCTTAGCAAATACTTGTTAAATCAGTATATTTGGTTATATCCTGGGTCTTAATATTCTTGGTGTTTCTTGGCATGTTCTTCTTGCTACTTCACTATATTCAGGGTTGTTATCCTGAAGTCAGTTCCTTCTTTATTCTGGGAAACAGGAGTTTTATTTTGCTTTATTAGGATATTTCTTGTGTCTAATATTTAGATGTAGAAGACTTCTTTTTTATATAATCATATGTATTGTGTGTAAATTTTGAACTCCTCTAAATGTTTCTCCGAGATTATCATTGTTGACAACTACCTCTTTTGAAATCTTTCTGCTTTACTTTGGTTTCTGTAATAGTGTACTGTTTGTGAGCTCCCTGGGTCAACCCCTCTTATTACTAAAAAACCAAAACAAAACTGATTCTGTCAGAAAATTTGATATGAAGAATTATTAAGTAAGTCTACATTTACTATCTACTTTGTTCTAAAAACTAAATGAAGAAATGACTCAAGTGTTAGAGAGGTAGCAAGTACTTCCCTAAAGCTGAGGGAAGCAATGGTCACAGGTTAGGATCACTAAAATTTACATGCTTGAAGGAGGGGCAAATGCATCCAAAATTTGGACCTTTGAGGAGGAGGTGCCACCCCTCTGATACTGACATATCTAAATTCTGACAAAGTGCCTCATTCACAGACTCAGGCCTCTGGGGAGAGGACCCCGCACTGTCTGGTTTGGTCTGATGAAGTGTTTTCTACTGAACTGGAAGAACTGCAAACTGAGTTCAGCTGCTGCCAGAGAAACAAAACCAACACAGCAAAGTTCCTCCTTCTTCCATCCTTGCAGTCAGCCTCAAGTACTCCATTTTGGTCAAGCCTAAGAGGGAGCCAGCTGGTATGGCAGAAATGTGGTTCCCAGGTTCTCACCCCGCAGCAGCACAAAGCCAAGTGTAGAAGGCTTAGTTGAGTAATGGAACAGAGAACAAGGAGAACAAGTCTCTAAGGTGTTGTAGTATAAAGTTACATGGTTTCTCAGGAGTTGAGATACTGACATCAGTAAATCATATATGAGAAAATTAATAATTTGGTAAGTTTAGAACTGTATGTAAATCACAAAAATGGAGAATTGGCACAAATATAAGCTTCTAATAATTTAATTGGTTTAGATTGTAAAATTAGATTTTGAAAATTGTTCAGCTTTTACTTATAGAGCAATTTTAGGTTTACAGAAAAAAAAATTCACGTGTAGAAAGTTTCCATATGTGTGCTCCCTTCATTTCAACACTGAAGTTTCCTTTTATTGATGTCTTAAATTAGCACTATATATTTGTTCTTATTGAGGCATCAATATTGATACGCTACTGTTAATTGAGGTCCACAGTTTATATTAGGAGTCACTCTGCTGGACATTCTGTGTGTCTGAGCTCCCCTTAACCTGGTGCTCAGTTTTAATGGTCTTATTTGATAATTTCTGTCTTCCATTGTCTGAATGTAGGCATTTCGCAGGGAAATTTGCTTATTTATCTTCTGTTGTATACTTTTTCCCTTGGGGAAATCTCTTTCATTTCCATTGAGTTTTCCAGTGAAGTAGAAGATTTATCTATAATCCATCTAGGATTTTCTCTGACCCCCAAATTCTGTGATAGCCTGTGTAAAATTCAGACTCCTCACAGGTTTCCTCCGGAGTCATTCCCTCCTTTCTCTGAGTTTTCTGTGTATATTAAATCTATTCTCTTGGTTGCACAGATGCAAAATCTTCATATGAAATTTGACTTGAAGATGTACATTTGTTTTGTCATGACTTTCTGTTGATGTTAGCTCTCTGTTGCTTGTCTTATTCTTCTTACCATTCTCTTTGCCCTATTACAAGTCTTGGTTCCCTTTCTTGTTGCTTCTGTGCAGCAAATGCTCCTGCTGCCTGAGGTCCTATGACTTTTGGAGAGAGGGTTAAGTGGAACTGCGCTGGAAATGGCCCACTTTGAGTAGCAATCTGGCTGTGTGCTGTTGCTGGTGGAAAAGAAACTGAGGACACAATTCAGAGAGGCTTTTTCCATTAGTGTTCAAAAAGAATAATCACTCATTTCTTTTTTGATGTTTCGTCATATTAAATGTTTTCTAAATGCCTGTTCCCTTTCAGCATAATGGGAGTTTTGAGTAACAAGTGTGGCTTTCAACTCCAATATCAAATGATTTTTTCAATATGGCTCCTGGCATTCAGTCCTCAAATGTGTGAACACCTGCGGCGCTACAATATCATTCCTGTCCTCTCCGACATCCTCCAAGAATCTGTCAAGGAGAAAGTCACAAGGATCATTCTTGCAGCATTCCGTGTAAGTTTTGGTGCTTGTTGTTATTGTTGTTGGTGGTGGTAGTGGTGTGTGTGTGAGAGAGACAGAGGCACTTTCTATTGTGCAGTATATATGAATTTTAGCAGATGGGAAAATTACTTGCCCTCTATGTTTTACATGTAGTTTTATAAACATACAATAAGATATCATTGGTTTGTCTTTATGGCATGGGACTGTGGAGCAGGTTGGAGGAAACCATCTAAATCAATGAAATGTGTGAGTCATAGAATACTTGTAAGGAAAGGTAATTTGGTTATATTCAGTTGAAGAAAGTCTCCCTTTTCTTTATTGCTTGCCATGAGACTGCTATTAGAGGAGTTTTCTCTCATGGGGCCCGTATTTTAGTATGGAGGTTTTTTTTTTCTTTTTTTTTTTTAGATTCTGGATCTACTGACTAGCAGTATATTTCTAAGGCAACTATAAAGATGTATAATTAGAGATCCACCTACACTGACCTATGCGGGACCCAGGCCCAGGGTAGGCCTGGGTCCGTCCTGCCACTGGCAGACACCCACCAGAGCTCAGGCTCCACCTAGATCTGCCTCTGCTCACCTGCACGGGACACAGGCCCAGGATAGGCCCAGGTCCATCCTGCCACCGGCAGACACCTGAGGACACAATTCAGGCTCTGGCACAGGATCACCTACACCAACCTGCACAGGACCCAGGCCCAGGGTAGGTTCGAGTCCACCGCTACCTTCACCTCCCAGCTGGGAGCCCAGGCCTAACCCACTTCCATCTTGGGACACTGCAGACATCTCCATAGCCTTCTCCATGCAGTAGCCTCTACCTTTCAACAACAGACAGGGCCTAGAAGCAGCTGCATCTCGGAGCAGGCATCCCAAAGACAGTGTAAGGCTCACCCTTTCAGCCCCATCTCTGAAATATGTTGCATCCATTTTGGGCACCGCCACTGCTATCTTGGCGTTACCTCTGCTATTGCTGCCACCACCTTTAGTTGCAGCAGCATACATCAAGAGTCTGGAAGCCCAATATTAAGGTGAGGTACAGATGATCTGCACAGATACTAAAAGATTATATGGTAGAAACTGTAATATCTCAGATCCACACTGCAAGAATGGAAGACACATAGAAACACATGACAACATGAAAAAACAAGGGAGGAAAGTGCCCCAAACAAACCAGGATACTGCAATAATAGAATCCACGGACAGCAAAGTTGATGAAATGTCAGAGGAGGAGTTCAGGAAGTTCATAATTAAAATGATCTGTGAATTAAAGGATGACCGAAATGAGCAAATACAGGCAAAATTGATCATTCTAACAAAGAGATGAGAGAGCAAATATAGGTAACAAAAGATTTCTTCAAGAAAGAGATAGAGACTCTGAAAAAAAAATCAGAAATCCTTGAAATGAAGGAAACAATAAGCCAAATAAAAAACTCAATAGAAAGCATCACCAACAGACTAGATAGATCACTTGGAAGATACAGTGTCAGATAATGAAGACAAAGTATACAATCTGGAAAATAAAGTTGACCACACAGTAAAGATAGTAAGAAACCATGAACAAGCCATCCATGAATTATGGGACAGCATCAAAAGACCAAATCTAAGAGTTATTGGGATAAAGGAAGGCTCATAGTTACAAACCAAAGGAATGCATAATCTCTTCAATGAGATATATCAGAAAATTTCCCAAGCATGAAGAATGAATTGGAAAATCAAATACAGGAGGCTTATAGGACACCAATTGTACACAATTACAACAGTTCTACACCAACGCACATTACAATGAAAATGCCTAGTATAGAGAATAAGGAGAGAATCTTAAAGGCCGTAAGAGAAGAAGAATCAGTTCACATATAGGGGGAAAGCAATTCGTATCTCAGCAGATTTTTCAACCCAGACCCTCAAAGCCGGGAGATCATGGAACAACATATACCAAGCTCTGAAAGAAAATGGATGAAAACCAAGAATCATATCCAGCAAAATTAAGCTTTAGATTTGATGATGAAATGAAAATCTTCCATGATAAACAAAAGTTAAAAGAATTTACATCTCGAAAGCCTGCACTATAGAACATCTTTGGCAAAATATTCCAAGAAGAGGAAGTGAAAAACAATGATGAAAATCAGCAGAGGGAGGTATTACACTAAAGGAAAATCTAATCAGAGGAGAAACCAAGTCAAATTAAATACCAAAAATAAACAAAAATGGCTGGGAATACAAATCATGTTTCAATAGTAACTCTGAATGTTAATGGCCTAAACTCACCAATCAAAAGACATAGATTAGCAGATTGGATAAAAAAAAAAAAAAAGACCCAACAATATGCTTCCTCCAAGAGACTCATCTCATAGGAAAAGACATCCACAGACTGACCGTGAAAGGATGGGAAAAATCATACCACTCACATGGACTGCGGAAGCAAGCAGGGGTTTCTATCCTCATATCAAATAAAGTAGACTTCAAGCTAAAGTTAATCAAAAGAGATAAAGATGGACACATCAAGGACCTAGGAATTAAATCAGAGACCCTGCGCGAAATAGAAGAAAAAGTAGGCCCTAATCTCCATCACGTCGGATTAGGATCTGACTTCCTTTAATAAGACTCCTATAGAGCAGGAATTAAAATCAAGAATCAAAAAATGGGATGGATGTAAAACTCAAAAGCTGCTTCTCACAAAAGAAACAATTAAGTGAAGAGAATAGAGAGCTTACAGAATGGGAGCAAATTTTTACCACATGCACATCAGATAGAGCACTAATCTCCAGGATATATAAAGAACTCAAAAATCTTAACACCAAAAAACAAATAATCCAATCAATACAAGGACCAAGGAACTGAAGAGGCACTTCCCAGTAGATGATATACAGTCAATCAACAAATATATGAAAAAATGTTCAACATCTCTAGCAATTAGAGAAATGCAAATCAAAACTACTCTAAGATTTCATCTCACTCCAGTCAGAATGGCAGCTATGAGGAATACAAAAAAACAGTAAGTGTTGGCAAGGATGTGAGAAAAAAGGCACATTCATACATTGCTAGTGGGACTGCAAATTGGTACAGCCAATATGGAAAGCATTATAGAGATTCCTTGGAAAACTGGGAATCGAACTACCATTTGACCCAGCTATCCTACTCCTCGGTCTTTACCCAAAGGACTTAAAAACAGCATACTACAAGGACACAGCCACATCAATGTTTATAGCAGTACAATTCACAATAGCTAAACTGTGGAACTAACCTAGATGCCCTTCAGTAGATGAATGGATAACAAAAATGTGGTATTTATGCACAATAGAATACTATTCAGTATTAAAAGAGAATAAAATCATGGCATTTGCAGGTAAATGGATGGAGTTGGAGAATATAATGCTAAGTGAAGTTAGCCAATCCCCCAAAACCAAAGCCGAATGTTTTTTCTGATATAAGGAGGCTGATTCATAAAGGGGTTGTGGGGGGTGTGGAGCATGGGTGGATTAGACGAACTCTAGATATAAAGCAAAGGGGAGGGAGGGAAAGTGGGAGTATGGGGGTAGGAAAGAAGGTGTAATGAGATGGGCATCATTACTCTTAAGTCATGTATGACAACACGATGGTGTGACTCTACTTTGTGTACAACCAGAGATATGAAAAATTGTGCTCTATATGTGTAATATGAATTGTAATGCATTTTGCTGTCATACATAACAAATTAGAATAAAAAGGTGTATAATTATTTTAAACTGTAGGTATTTATTAATATGTAAGAATTTTTGAGTTACGTAAGTCAACTTCCTCCCTTGAAAAGATGAGGAAGTTGAGAACAAGAGAGGAGCTGAGTTTGAATCTTTATTCTAGGTAGCTAGTCATTTGTAAAACAGAAATAAAGTATTGTTAATTGGGTCCCCAGAGCCAGTGTCTTCACTGTAACAACTGTCTCTTGATAATTTTGTTGATTGCCTTAGGATTCAGATGGGATTTTGGCAGATGGCTTGTTTGGTCTCTTAAGAATGCTACCTGAGAGGGCTGGGGTTGTGGCTCAGTGGTAGAGCACTTGCCTAGCATGTACAAGGCCTTGGATTTGATCCTCAGCACCAAATAAAAGTAAATAAAATAAAGATATTGTGTCAAACTAAAATTAAAAAATAAATATTAAAAAAAAAGAATGCTACCTGAGAGTGATAATAGTGGACATATCTCAGGTAGCGCTTACTGTGTCATGCATTGTTCCCAGGGCTTTCCCTTGTTAACTCATTTAGTGTTTATTAGAGCCCTAAAACATAAAAATTATTATTTTTATTATTGGTATGTGTTATTATTGGTGTTGTTATTTGTTTGCTTCAGAAACTGTACTTTTGATCATTATTTATTCATATGTAATGAACAAGTCAAAAATAAAAAGTAATATACACGTGTTACAAAAATATAAATAGTATAGATATCATATTTGTCAAATGCAGTCACCTTTTAGATGTTTCTGAGCATGCAGAGATAAATATATAAATAAGTGTGTGGTTTTCCTTCATATTTAAAAATAAAATGATACCATATAATAAATATTGTTCTTTATCTTTTTTTAAATTTGTTTTTTTTAGATATACATGACAGTAGAGAGTATTTTGACATACATACATACATGGAGTATAACTTCCCTTTCTTGTGGTTGTGCATGATGTGGAGTTACACTGGTCATGTATTCATATATGAGCATAGGAAAGTTATGTCAGATTCATTCCACTGTCTTTCCTATTTTTTTAGCTTTATTCTTACCAATTCTTAAAGAATATGTTTTTATTTCTCTAAACATAGATCTTCACTCTTCCTTTTAATGGCTATATTCCATTGTGTTGGTATATAAGCGTTAAGTATTCTATTGATGGGCTTGTGGGTATTTTCAGTTTCTTTCGTGTATGCATGCTTACTTTGATGAATAATTCTTCTGAATGAAGTTCTAGAAGGGGAGTCAAAGATACATGCTGTTTTACACTTACTATAGATAATGCCAAATCACCTGTCTTTCAAAACTGTGCC